CTCGGCTGAGTTTTTTTTTTTTTTTTTTTTAATTTAACAGCTTGCTTGTATCCATGGGGTAATATCAAGCAGTAAAATGTTGGTAAGAAATAAGTTTAGTATGGGCTACTACTTCCACACTGCCTAGTATTAAGCCATAAAAATCATCCCTGAAATATGCCTCCTTCTGTGGTGAAGAGTTACAAGTGGGTTATAATTCACCACATACTTCTGAACGCATTGTTATGCAAGAGAAAGAAAGACCGCTGCAGCAGGCGATGTGGGAGTGGAGAGATTACTGCATAAGAAAAGCTAGAAGGAAAAATTACTTTTCGTGACACTAGGGAGTCACGTTTCAAACTTGGCTTATAATTGTATATACTTTACCTGTCTCTGAAATTCCTTTCCCTATATTAATGTTATAGCAATCTATGTGAACAAGATGGGCAGTATGCCAAAGGGGGTAGTAATTTTCAAGTACCTCCGTACTGTGATTGGAGAGGGGAGGAGAACGTCTACTAACAGTGTAATTATGTGGCAATTCCAGAGAAATTGATTATTATTAGCTTTTTATGATCACACTAACAAAGTCAATGATCCAAGATGAAACAGCAAAAATTAGTGCTTACACAGTATTCAGCAACAAGATATCACCAGGTGAGAGAGTGGATGTATCTGAAACCGGATAATTCCTGAAATTGAAATGGCCATCTCACACCAGTTATAACAATGGATGCGCTCTGTTAAAGCCTAATCCACTTTAATGGGGGATCCCAGGATGAGAGGCCATGTAAGTATGCAATGACACATACAGTATCTAGAAGTGGGTGGGTGTTTATTCTAAATACCCACACTACTGGGGTATTTGCACCTTTAACCAACAGAGAGAATTACAGTAGTGAATACAGATCAATTTCTTCAAGTTGGTTATTGCTTTAACAAAATCTTGTGTCACTTTTTCTAACATCCATCTTCAGACTCCCAAACATACCACTGAGACTGGATACCTGCATAGGCAGAACTATCATTTGCCAACCACATCCTCCCCTTTGAGGCTCCCTGGTTTTACAAATAATAATTCAAAACTCTTCTCTGTGACCTGAGAAGGTTTTTCCAAAAGGAGAGAAAGGTGCTGCAGTACTTGAACAATAGATTAGTATTTTTGAAGGTCATAATGAAGTAGAGGAAAGAGAATAATCATTATTGCTCTTTCTTGTAATTAGTTTGCTTTCTGATACCCCACATTGCAACTAGAACATTATTCAAGAACACCCATCACAGTGCTTAACAAGATTTAATGTACATTTATTCTTAACATGTGGAACATATAAAGATTTTATACTGAATAAATGAAATTCATTAAGCCAGAGGAAAAGGAGGAATTTACATCAAGTTTTTTCTTTTTTAACTACATTATCTTGAAATACAAATGCAGATTCTTGTCACTGAAAAATCTTTGAAGTTGTGTTTCTTCCTTTTTTTCCTGTATATATTTTTTGTCTGTAGACTGGTAACCATTTTCTTAAATCAATCCATACGTAACCATTTCCACACCTTGATTTATAAAGCAAATTGTGATCGGCTGCTCTCCCGAAATAGAGCATCACTTTATACATACAGAAACTTGTACATTACCCTCAGTTGTTGATTTTCTGTGTTGGGTTTTTCCTTTTTTCTTTTTTTTTTTTTATTATTTTCTGGAGATATGGCCCAAATGAAAGAAAAAAATAATTCTACTATCACTTTGTAGATACCACATCATGAAAAAGAAACTAAAAACTTTGTACTAAAAAAAAAAAAAATGAGGGTATGTTTAATGTACAACTTCTATATACATCACGGCCCTTAGGCAATAAAAAAATATTTTAAAAAATGATTAAAGGAATTGTGAAGAACTGTCATTGTGGAAGGTCAAAAAAACAGATGTAGACAGGACAGTTCTGGTGAGGAAGCAATTGATGTTTATCATCAGGTTTTGTTTAAAAATCTTTTAACTTGAATTTTTTGTTTTGTTTTGCTCCTAGCCTAATGTAACCATTTCTCCTGTGGAGAAACCAGTATCATTTTGTATATAGTTTTGACTACTGACTGACACCCTCCTTGATCCCCTACACCTACATCACTAGAATCTTCTATTGCACAGAGCTTTGGGTGATGGTATACAAGTTTTTTTTTTTATTATTTTTTCCTTATTTGAAAAAATAAAACACACAGGAACTTGGTATGTTGGTAATTTGTCACCTTTTTGTTTCAAAGTGGTGAGATTTTTTTTTCCATCATACAATGGTTTGCCATAACATTTTTTTTAAAAAGTCACTAGTTCGCTTCCCAAAAAAATATGCAATACAAACATGGAAAAGAACATTGAAAAGGATAATCTATGGAAAAAAAAAAAAGTGTGACCTTTGAATGTACTAGACAGCAACTTTGGTTAAAAAAAATAAAATAAAAAGATGTACTTATACACATAGACAGCAAATATTAATTTCATAACTGTTCAAATTAATAATTTCTTTAATTCCCAATTGGTAAATAGTGAATGGGGCAGAGGAGCAAAGATTCTTTTTTTTTTTTTTTTCCTTCTTCCTACGTTGGATAAACAAGAACAGAAAACAGCCAGTTATATGTGACCCTCTAATCTCCACTCACACATGCTTGGCTTCTCACTTATGTCATAACTGCCCAATCTGAAAAAGTACATCACAGATGACAGATGCAACCAGAGAGTTCAGGACAGCAGATATTGAGATATCCAGCAAACGACCCTCGTGCAAAAGGAACTCTGAGCGGTTCTCGTCCACTCTAGCCATGGCCAGCAAGGCCTTGGCTGCCCTGCACATCATGTCTACGCTAGGTGGCTCCAGAGGTGGAGGCTGCATGTGCATGAGGTTATGCTGGCTCTGCTGGTACTGGGCCATAGTGACCCCATCCTCCAGGAAGCTTATCAAGTTTCCGATGCTTCCCTTCTGCACAGCTATTGCCCTTGCTGCTAATGTGTCCCCCTGGGCAAGGTTCGATAAGAGCGCCATGGACATTTCTCGGCAGACCGGGTTTTTGCGGTCCCCAACGTACCTAACTAAAGTAGCGTAGAGTTTCTCCTGACGACTGAATGGGGGGGTGGCCAAGATAAGGTCCACATTATTGTCCTGGATACTGAGCTTACACAGGGTCTCCAGCACAAGTCTCTGAGGCGAAAGAACCGAGTTGGGCCCCACGGTTGGAAAAGGATCCTGTGCCTCTGCAGATGGGCACACCATCCAGTGCAGCAAGCCATCCAAAATTGGCAAACAGATGCTTTCTGTGTAAGCAGACAAGTCTAGCTGCCCAGAAATGTTGGCTAATGTGACCAATGTATTATCCCTCAAGACCTCGAGGCAGTCCCACCACCATTCATCCTTGCTGCAGGCCACCCCTTTGTCCTCCTCTTCCTCTTTCTCATATGTCTGTGGCGCTCGCTTTCTTTCTGGATGCTCATGGTGAAGAAGGATCAACTTTCCCAGGATCAGCACCAAGCCTGGATGTTTGGACATTTCGGTGTCATTGCCAGGCACAAAAGACAAGCTACGGACGATATTTGACACACAGATGCAGCGTTTGGCCAAGGAGTCTTGCCAGTGGGTTATGGTGCATAGAGGAGTTTCATCCCGGCTCCTTGGTTCGTCCTCTAGCAGTTTAATATTCCGGTGGCTTTTGGCTTGATGGATCCCAAAAGGAAATTTACTGCTCTCTGTTTGGGAACCAGAGTTTGAGTCTTCAGGCAATGCTCCTGGCCGAGCTGAGAGGACATCATCAATGGTAGCTGTTATACTTTTTTCTTGTTGTTCCTCCGATTCACCTTTCCCCTCGAGGTCCTTCTTTTTGCTTGGAGAATTCAAGGGAGGAGGGGCTTTCCTGCGTGGAGGAATCTCCATCTTGCTTTCAAAGTGAGTCTGGATGTGCTCAGTTGTGTCACCACCACCAAGCTGCCAGTGGAGAAGTCCACTATCAAATTCCTGAACACGTCCAAGTTTGTCAGATCGGTCAACAACAAACAGATTATTTTTCTTTACAATCTTTATTGGCAGCTTGTCAAATTTACTGGCTTGTTTTGGCCTCTCACTTGGATCAGCAATGGCACCAGGAGTGGAAAAAACAATGCTCTTTTCTTCTCCTTCTACCTTTTCATCCTCCCCCTCCTCCTCGTCTTCATCAAAATAGTCAATACATTCATCGTTCTCCTCTTTCCCAGTATCCTCTGCCAGAGGCTGGCTATCATCTTTCTTGGCTGCTTTGTGATCAAGTGCTTTGTGACCTGGATCTCCCACTTCATATTCCATAAGGATTCCAAAAATGTCAATCAGGCATTTTCTAAAATATTCTACCAAAAGCTCAAGAAATCCAGACAACTGAGGGGAGAAGAAAGAACATAAAAATCAGATAAATATTTTTGACTGCATGGAATTTTATTAGGAACAGGGAAGCATACATCTGTGCATATTTCCCTCCTCCTGCTTTGGACTTAAGACTAAATACTGCATGGCAAAAGTTAATCAAAGGAAATTCTTCTGTTTTCTGTTCACTGAGTATATTTTCTATTTTTCACAAACTATCACGGCGCCATTTGCTTAAATTGTAACAGTTACCAGAATGACAGAACTTTATTCACATGCCTCCTTTAAGCTACAGTAGACATCTAACTTAGCTGTTCTGTCCTCTTGGTAATGCCTAATATTCTTTATTGTCTGTACAGAGAACTGAAGTTTCTAACCAATTTTAGTTATCTTAACTGTATTTTTATTAGATGCCTAATAGTCGACAACAGTCGGAAAGTCGAATAGTCTTCCTCTCCTTCCATGCCTCTCAGACTCTAAAACCAACTGTCCAGCCCCTGGGACTTTGCAGTACTGGTTCTAGGTACCGTCATCCTAGACTAATATCCCATCTTTATTGGAACAGTTCTCTTCATGCTGTCAATATAACTGTTACTGGATCATGGTGCTGTAAGTCAGCCTTCAGAAACAGTTTTTGTTTGGATTTAATCCTCTTAATTAACTTGTAATGACTTTCTTACTGAAAGACAATGGTTGGACTTGTTACTAATTTACTCTCTGTGGCTTTATTATTAAAGATGCTTTGCTGTTACTATATTGAGCCTGATTGTCTGGCTTTTAATAGTTTTTTTAATTGTGGGCTAATAGGTGTTCAGTAAACGTATCCTTTTGTCCTTACACCCAAAGTTAATTTAGATCACGTTTCATACAGTTGTTTTGTTTTTCTTAGTTGGATGACCATTTCTGTGTTCTGTATAATCTTATGACTGCCAAACCCCCAAAGAATTAAGAACAAGCTTAGGTTTATGAACTGCAAGAATTATCAATCATCATATAGTGTCCTAACTTCCAGTGCAAATCAAGTTCAAGCTAAAAGTAACAAAAAAATCTAAAGGCTGTCTGGTATTCTGTGCGACTTGCACAGGATGCATTCATGCAACTTCTAGTCGAATTTGGATGAGATTCGCCCCCCTTAACTTCAGACACCTGCAACAGTTGCACGCCTAACCTAATTGTCTGGATTCCTTTTATAATCAATGACCTTTTATAGGCCATTTCTAGGGTATGATTCACCTGACCAATTTTAGATCTTTACTTTAGGATGAAATGAATCACGTTATAGATATCCCCGTTTCTAAAATTAAGTAGGATGAAATGTACAATTTGTGTCTACGTTTAAAAAAGTCATTCACTATACTTACTATTAGTAACCAAAGAATGAATGGAGCAGATAAATTGAATATTCTATTTGTACAAATTTTATATCATGCACATTACATCACCATACCATCTATTACTACTACTTAACAGCCAATGGTTAGAGCAGGGCTGAGAAATGCTGGCAGGTAGTGAGGCAAAAGCATACAGTGTTAAATTCTATGTTACTTGTGTCCTGTGGATAGACAGTAGAGTTTAGCCTTCAAATTGTCAATCTGATATTTCTGTGCAAACTCAATTTACTGGAAGGAGAAACCAAACAAAACATATGCAATTTAGAAACTACAGCAGCCTACTATTGGGCTAGTGAAATACGACAAGCAGCGACCCAAAGACAGTCTCAAATCAATTTAGTAACATTTTGAAAAGCCTTTTTAGGGAACACCAGTTAAAATAGATTACTAATATATTGCTGGTTTTTTTAGGATTGTCCTTATACTATAACAAATTGGGACTTAACACATTAGCCTTTTGCTATTGCTGAAATTTGAATACTCCTGTGTGGTTCTTTTGACAAAAGATATCCTCATTTCAAGCTTATTATTTCCACTATTACATTCCAAAGTTATCTCTTGTTGCCCACTGTTACCATTAAAAATAGAAGTTTTCAGATATTCAATTTTATATTAACGACAATCAATTTTAAGAGAATTCAGCACTTTCTCATGTATCTTATTTCCATTTTCTTTCCTTGGAAGGTTGAGAGGTATACTGCTTTTCCACTCACCTGAGAGAGGTTGAAAGTAGCAACAGTGCTGTCATCATACAGAAGAATATTAATAGTGTCTAGCGCCCAGGTACTTTCAGCCAAAAGACCAGACTTAAGAGACATCATTACTCTCCAGGCCTCAGGAGTTACTGGAGAAAGAAAGGAGGCAAAGTGAAAAACAGTATTAGTACACCCTAAGAGACCATTAATGAGTTTTCAGAGAATACACTGTAACATGCTGACGATGCAGAATATAAATGAAGTAGTTTCAGTTATGCAGCGTTCATAAACACTGCTTTTCAAGACAGTGGTTTCACCATTTAGCCCTGTGCAGTTTTTCTAGAAAAACTGCTGCTTTGCCTTAATTTTGGAGAGCAGCTGAACAGGGACATTCTTCCTGACTTTGCTGAAGCTGAAATAAAGTTCTTACAAACTTTTGAGAAGTTGAGCAAAACAAACAGTCCATAAATAAAAGCAAAATGTTATGTCAGAAGTACGGAAGCTTGGATCTGTGAAACGTGGTAACAGGAATTCAAGACAGGAAGATACTTGGGAAAGAATATGGGGAGAAACAAACGTGACAAATAATACTGAATGAATAAATGGGCCAGTCAAAGAAGACAGACTGTTAAGTACACAACGGAACAGTATTATTCATTGTGAACTTCCATGGAACAAGAACATAGAAAACTTTGCTCAAATAAATGTTGCACTGGCTATTTAACAGACTTTCTGAAGGACCTTTCAACACATGAAATTTGAAAGTCTGAGACAAGCTTGATCTTTATGCAAATGTGCATTTTTGCAGGCCTCAGGTCTCCATGTAAAATACTGCTTTCATTTCATGTCAAATCTGCTGGGCTGAGTTTTACTCATCACCCTCACTGATGCAGGTGTTACTACATTTTTATTGAACACAATGACATTATAGTTACCAAGGTCCAAATACTTCTCCAGTGTCAAAGGGAAATCAAAATTGAAGTCCCTTTCTCCCCACCTATTTCTGTATTTGGCTTTTGTTTTGATGCTTACCAATATCTTTTGAGGTAATCTTTCGTCTTGGTTTTAAGACTGGTTGCGATGCTTCTACGGATCCTGGGGGGAAGGTAATTTCTCGCCTAATTGGTGGTGGTTGGGGTGGAGGTCCTGACACCTGTGACACTGGAACTGTGGGTATAACCTTTTGCATCTTCATGGAGGGTAGGAAAGGAGATTTGCTTGGAGACATACGGTTTTCCAGAGAGCGCTGGAAGGATGCTGGACTTGGAGCTCTAGAGATGTGGTTTGGCATAGAGGGTGGTGTCTGGTAGGATGACTGAGGAGGTCTAGTGATAGGCTGCATGGAGGCTGAGGATGACATATAAGAAGGCTGACGTTGGTTGACGTGAGAAGGCCACTGACTCTCGTGGTTTATTCTCTGGTCAGGTACCATCATATCATCAGTGCGATTCATCCCTGGATACGGTGGGGCCTGTGCAGGGCCTCCTGGACCTTGCCTATTCTGGTAAGGATAAGGCATATCATTTCGTGTTGGCCACATGTTCTGCTGAGGACCTTCGCTGGAGGATGACGACTGCATGGGGCCACCAATCATCTGGGGAGGTATTCCATGTTGCTGAATTTGTCCTGGGCCCTGCATCCTCTCCCGGTTATATGGATATGGATACTGTCCCTGCATGGGCCTCCTGTCAGGCCCAGTGTAAGCATTGCTGTACTGGTTATACATTTCCTGCTGCTGGTTGCCATACTGCATGTTATACATATCCCCTTCATGGCGTTTGGCTGGAGGTCCATACATGCCATCCATGTGTCGCTTATAGTTCTGAAAAGAATTTTTGGAAAGAAGATTTGTCACTTTTATTCCATATACAATATAAATACACTGGCTGAAAGCTTATTTAAAAAGCTGAAGGCTCTTAGTTCTGGAAGAAGTGTGCCGATTCCAGAGTCAGACTTGCACTGCTATGGTTAGGCTTGATCCAGTGCCTTCTTTTTAAGCCTCTGTTTTGCTGTGCTTATAACTTAATATTAAAAGGCAACTTATCCTTGGGCTAAATTTTCTTGTACTTGCTCTCATTTTCTCCCTTTCCCTTTCTGTTCCTGTCAGAAAAAATTCTATTTGTCATTTATGACATGCATGAAAAGGCAATAGTCCTCAACAACTAAGATATTTTCACTTCTTTTTTATGCTTAGTCCCCTACAAAAATTCAAAACCACCCAGTGACTTAATCTTTTCAAGGAACAAGCACTGAATAAACTCTTAACACACCAAGATATGCTGCAAGCACGCATGTCTGAAACACTGGATGTTACAATAGAGCATAAGCTACACAAATTTACTAGGAGGAGAAAACATTCTGCTATATTTGCTACTCTTTGTGTACTTGCCAGGCACATGGTCCTGCTTGGGCAGCCATCCCTCTCCCCAAATCCCCCTAATCACATTTAATTTAATATGAAATTATTTTAGCACATGGTCAAACCTAAACATTCTACTCCAGTTTATACACCCTCTTACGCTGTTGATCAGTAATGAATTAGGCAATGCAACTAACAGCTGCCACGTATAGTTAATTCTCTCTTTCTTTCTCACCCTCTCAAATGGGGGAATGTTGCATGAGGTAAGCTGTTTTACTTTAGGGAGAGGTGAGTTGGTTTTAAATCATACAAGCTTGTATCTATTTCTGTTTAAGAAGATAGGACAGAAAAGACATCTTGCAGTTTGAGAGGAAGGTGGTGAGACTCACAATGGTCCTTAGTTCCTGTGGGAGTTTGTTCCACAGTTGAAACCACACTGAGTGCTCTGAAGCAAAAAACGTGCATTAAATGTGCCATTTTTAAATATACAATCTATGGCAAATTCAAAGTTATGGCTCCCCCAGAAACCTTAACTCAGTCGCATTGCACAATGTATACTAATGTACTAAAGTTAACATCAGATGACATTCTATATGTATTCAATACGAGTCAGTTAAAACAGCTCTGGGAATCATAAACTTATCTTCCAACTTTGGTGCACATAAAACCACAACTATTGTGTTGCATGAAAGTAGGATTTTTTTTTTTAAACTTCCTATAGAGCTGTCTTGCTATCTGAGACATGGAGACTATGTTTTCAACCCTACCTAAGCTACTTGCTGTGGTAAATTCTGCACTTATGGCTAATTTATACATTAAGAACTGACTTGGGAGTTGCCACACCTAAAAAGATGATGCCTGTTTTTGCTAGAGTGATTCAGAGTGCTTAAAACAGACACTTAGAAATGAAGCATGTGTCTTTTTTTTAAGAGCAATTCAATGCCCTTGTATATGTAGTGACAATATGCCTAATGGTAACCAATGGGAAATGCTGAGCACAGTGCTACATCTGACCCCCCCCCGCCTTCAGCAGGGGGCAGAGGACTGCACGCTATACATTTCTTTCCACCTGGAATGTGGAATTAGGAGACCTCATAGAGGACAAAAGGCACCAGCATAGGTCACTTTTTGCATAATAGCTCTCAGGGTACGAACATTCACACAGGAACTGGAAAACCTGTGTCAAAGGGCCTCGTTAGCCACAGGGGTTCACGCTCTGAGCACCTCCTTCCCAGGTCATTCCCTAGCTTTCAGGCTGTAGGTGAAGCTTTGAAAAGGCCATTTTTCACATTCCTCTTGCACTACTATGCAGTGAGATTTAGAAAGAATAAGCAAGAGGCAACCTTACTCCCTAGTCAAGCAAGGAAGAGGAATCCTATGGGAGTGGGAAGAAGGGCCAAGGCCAGGATTCTTGCCATGCATTTTGCATTCAAGAGCCATTGTACAAAGCATCTGAACAGCACTGAGGACAGGGCCAAATATATTTTTACAAATTCTAGCTGTCTCCTTGCATAAATGAACACTTAGTTAATACATTCCCTATGTACGTTAGTATGGGATTCACAAACTGTTCGGTGTTACGTATCTTTGTGATTTCCCACGAAATCACCTCAAACTGCTAGCTCAAAGAACAACGAAACAGTTTTTTTGATTATGCTACTTTAGAGATATTATGAACCAAACAGCTAGGCAAAAAATTTTGAAAGTAACTTTAGATAGGTTACATTTTACTAGGAAAACCAGTAAAATCAGAAGAGGAGATCTAACATTTTTAGTACTACTGTATCCTAAACTGAAAGTTATATCTGAAATTGGCTGAAAACTAGCTTACATTCAGATATTTATAATATAAGGAAACACTTTATTTTGGAAGCTAGCTTCAACATTAATTGTTGCCTGACTAGCCATGTGCAGGATGAAACTGATCAAAAAAGTCAGTGGAGTTTTGCCATTGACTTATGAGACTGAATCGCATGTAGTAACAATATACCTTAGAAAAATCCTCCTCATTGATATCATTTGTATTTTCAAAGATATTTGAAAATATCTTTGAAGATATTTGTATTTTTGTTTACGTAGAGAGGCTAAAGTCTCCAAATGTCTCCAAACTACTTTTAACACTAATAGTGTCTATCCCTCATATATCTGTAACATATTATTACTAGAGACAACATAGAGATAAGCTAATATCATCTGATATATATTAAAGATGAATAATTCTTTGACATTATCTGGACTAGGTGCATGACTGACTGCCGCATTCTAAATAATTGGGGGCGTTGCACGTTTTTCTTTGTGCCAGTTTTCTGGGGGGTTCACTTGGCTGCATAACATCAGTTGAGGCCTTTTGCTTTGCCAGTCGAGCAGCTTTTCTATTTTTTCTGCAAGTGGGGTGGCATCACATTACTAATCTATGAATTATATTTTCCCAGTCTGCTGGTTATTGATTTGGGACATTCACTTGATACACATTCAAAGCCACAGAACATCCATTAAAATTTACACTCTCCCAGTGTAATGAACACATCTTTCTATAGCTGCATATGCACTGCTTATGCATTTGAGCTGTGATTTTGACCAGAACTGCAGTGGTCCTCTGTGCCAAGAGACATACATTTCAAAAACACATTTTTCAATG